GCAACCATACAATTTTTTTTTATCCAACATGTACCAGAGAAAATCTATGCTCCAAAGTGAATGAATCCGTGGTAATTGTGTTTATCTAGCCCCTGTTTGGTGGGGATTAAAATCAGATTTTTAGTAGATTTTGATAAAAATTGATGAAATGTGTTGTTAAAAAGTTTTGGGTCTAATAAAATATGTGGTTAAAATTAATTGTTGACTTTGATTTAGATTAAAATCTAAATTTTAATCCCTACCAAACAGGGGCATAATAAGAATTGCAGCAATGATTTGAACTAGAATACAATCCCTAGTAAATGGAGTACAGATAGGAGTACAGATAACAAGGAAAATAAATTCTCCTGCTACAGAGTTTTCACGTTATAATTTTTGATAGACCAGTTCATAAGCATATTATTATCAGAAACACGTACCACTATGGTGTTTGATAGTTCTCGGTGAGCATCATCAAGTTTCACAGCCATTTTGGCAATTTTGTGCAACAGAACCTTCTGACGAGTAGTCCAGTCAGCATTTCTCCAAATGCTCTTTGGAATTTCGCTTAAACCAAAACCAAGAAGAAATGCACCAGTCACTAGCCCAAATGTATTTGATCCAGCCATTGCCAAAGCCAGTATATCTCTAATCCTGAAAGTGAAGGTATAAACAATAGAAGGAAATGACATTAGAATTGAAGAAGAGAACCAATGTAACTATGCATGTTATAGTAAGAGGATTGTGATCCATCAACTGGCAATATTAAAGAATGATATTTGACCAGTATACTCCACATTAGTTTTTCTTATTTATTTATTTAATGTTATTATTTCTCTTGTTTCGTGCATGTTTTAGGGGCAGTTGGAATGGGTGCAGGGCCTCATCTTGAGTTTATCAAGAAACCAGGTATCTAGTATAATAGGGAATGAGTTTGTCAAGCTATAATTCCCAATCTAGTACTAAATATGATGCATGAGACCCTCACTTCCAGTTTTCTATTACAATAAAGCTAATTTCTGCCTTTGCAGCCACATATCATTTTTACCTGTTCTAATACCCATTTTTTTCGTTCCAATCAGTTCATCATTGACAAAGATGCATGATAAATCAAAAGCAAAGAACAAAATCATCTACCCAGGACCTAAAAATCACCCACTAAAGACACCAGCCTTCTCTCAGAATGGCAACCAACAGTTAACAAGGCAAATAACATATGTATAAAGCCATACAATCTACACTCACTAGTCAACCAGACATTAACATCCCTCAGGTGAAGTAAGAGTTTCCAACTTATCAATCAGTCCAGCTGATCCGGAATGGAATAGAACAGTGCTGCCT